AATGTCACCCCCCTATTTAAAAAAGGAGAAAAATCTGATCCAGGAAACTACAGACCAGTATCACTTACCAGCATCACATGTAAAATCCTAGAACACATAATATGTAGCAACATCATAAACCACTTAGACAAACATAATGTCCACACCCCATACCAATATGGCTTTAGGAAATATAGATCATGTGAAACACAACTAATAGGAGTAATTGATGATTTTTCAAAAGGTTTAGATAATAGTGAACAAATAGATGCTATTTTACTAGATTTTTCCAAGGCTTTTGACAAAGTTCACCACCATAGTTTGCTGAAAAAAATTAAAATATTTCGGCATTAATGGTCCAATGCATCAGTGGATTAAAGATGTTCTGATAGGGAGAGAACAAACTGTAATGATAAATGGCTCTAAATCAACACCAATAACAGTAAACTCAGGTGTACCTCAAGGAACAGTCTTGGGTCCACTACTATTTTCAATTTGCATAAATGATTTACCAAATTGCATTAGTTCAGGAACAAAAGTCAGATTATTTGCGGACGATTGCATATTATATAGAACAATAAAAACAACACAAGACACAGATATTTTACAAAGAGAATTAGATGAATTACAGAAATGAGAATCAAATTGGAGCATGTCTTTCCACCCAGAAAAATGTCAGTTGTTAAGAGTAACAAAAAAACTAAAACAAATTAATTCCACTAATCTTATTCATGGCAAACCAGTAGCACAGACTAAAAACGCAAAATACCTAGGTGTTATAATAAATGAAAAAACTGTCATGGAATCCACATATTGATGAAACTATAAAAAAATCAAACAAAGTATTAGGGTTTAAAAACTAAAATGTTATTTAACCTTGGTTAGGCCAATAATAAAATATGCATCCACCATTTGGGACCCCTCAACTCAAGAAAACATTAAGAAACTGGAACAGACACAAAATAGAGCAGTGAGATTCATAACAGACGAATATTCGCATTTGACTAGAGTAACACCATTAGTAAAATCACTAAATTTAGAAAGCCTTCAGGACAGAAGACTTAAAAGTAAAGTAGCAATTATACATAAAACACTGAACCATAATCTTCAAATACAAAAACAAAATTTAATAAAATACTCTGAAAGACACAAAAATAAAGGCACATTCCTCGTCCCGTATGCTAGGACAAATTTGTACAAATACTCCTTCTTCCCTAGTGCTATTAGAGCATGGAATGGGTTGCCTGAGCTAGCCAGAAAAACCAGTGACTTGGCAGAATTTAAGTCATTGGTTAATATGCATGACTAAATGCATGACGATTAGGACGTAATCATCTTCTTTTTTGAAGTAACGTCTGTATTATATAAGATAAGATATAAATAATATAAACACCGGGTCTAGCTCATTCTCTTTCTGAATATGGCCAGTGTGAACATTTCATAGGATTTTTTGCATTTTTGAATAGGAGAAAGGCTAATTGCTGGCATTTGGTGTTGGAAATGCATGCTCTATTTAAAAACATAAATCACTGCCTATTAAATCTTGTGTTAAAAGAAAAGTGTATAAATATGTAATGTGCATAGGTAGTTTATTTTTTAAGCCAAACTAATACACCTAAAAACATACAAATAAGTTATATAAACAACTATAATATATATATATATATATATATAAAAAATTTTAAACAAAACTTGGTATATAAATGTAAGAAAATAATTTGTAAACCCTTGCTTTACAATTCAATATATATTTTTTAAGATCTAAATGTGACAGTCAGACAGAACATTCTGACCAAAAAAATGTATAGTGGCTTATCTCTTTTTGGGGGCCATCAAAATTTTTAAAATCTTAAATCAAATATTTTAATAAATTATGACAAACTTTCTTTTTATTTATTCATTACCCCTCCCCTCCAAAAAAAATTTTTTTTTAATACCCTGGCCATATTTTTCTCTTTCCAGAGGGTCAAGTTCTAATAGACTCCAGCTTTGCAGAAACCATTGATACCTTCCTTTCTATTGGTGTTCAGATACAATCTTACATAGTCATAATAGTTGTAGGCATCATTCTTGCATTATTCTGATCTCAAGTAACCAGCAGTAACAGGCTGGGGGATGAATTCATTGTGTGCAAGCATGGAGAGAGGATAGAAAGACATTGTATATAGGCTCAAAGTGAACACAATTTCTCAATCAAAAACATGATAGCGAGTATACACACCAAACACAGCTGTTTTTATTCAGCTGGGAATCATGGGATGTGAAATGTCTCTGTGAACAAATAATTCTTGTGTAAATATTTGTTGCAAAAATCATTTTCAAAAAGTTTTTATTTTGTACTATTATAAATAATAAGACATATTTTATTAATACATTGAAATCTTATTTTTTTGTATACATTTTGTGTAAGGTGCTGAAAAAAACAAACTGTTACAATTGAGTGAATGGTAACCTATTGCGACAAAGAAATCCATGCTCTCAGTAGTAGTTTATTGGAAGCCTAAGATGATGAGTTTTGAATTAGTACAGCACACTGATCAGGTATTTTAGCTCTGATCATGTATTAGTACAGCATACTGATCATGTATTTCAGCACAGATCATGTATTTTAGCTCTGATCATGTATTAGTACAGCACACTGATCATGTATTTCAGCACTGATCATGTATTTTAGCTCTGATCATGTATTAGTACAGCACACTGATTATGTTTTAGTACAGCACACTGATCATGTATTATAGCTCTTATCATGTATTAGTACAGCACTGATCAACATAATCAGGATGTGCTTGGATTTTAGCTCTTATTTTTTAAATTTAAATAAAACTAAACAGAAGTAGCCTGTGGCTCTTATCCTCTAGATCTCAGTGAAAGCAATCCTTTTATTTTCATACAAAATACTAATATATACTAAAAAAAGGAGGACTTAGAAAAATGCTTTTGTCTTATTTATTGTGCCTTCCGTATGATTTGTTGGAACTGTGATTGTTTTATGGATATATCATGTTTTTGAATATCTTACTTCTTGATGATTGTGAAATTGTTCCGTGAAATGTTTTTTAAAATTGTAAATTTTATTGAAATTAGTAAGTAAGTCTGTTGATTTATGTAACTAATGTAACTGTTTTTAATGACATGACTAAATAGTGTAAGGAGGTATTGGACTTTAAAAAAAACTAGCCCTTAGTGAGTTCCAAGCATATTTAATTTAACTTGTCACTTACATGTTGTTATTTGTTTTGTTTTTTTAAACTAACTAAAGATTGTTCATAAATTTTGTTCAATTTTATTAGCTTTTAAAATAGTAAAAAAAAAATTTAACATAATTTTTATTGATGTAAAACTAAAAATATATGTTGAGCCCTAATTAAATGACACTCTATTAGTATGTTTGTTGTTAGGTTTGATACACATTGTAAATATGTACATGCATAATGTTGATACACTTTGGTCCTTCCATTCAACAACTTGTTATAATTTGCTTCGCCATTCTGTGTTATAGACCATTGCTCAACTTCAACTGATTGGTTTAGAACAAGACTAGTATTGTTTATTGTTGAATGTGGAAAATGAGTCACACACTATCTGTTAACAGTTATATTAGATATATATCCTTGTGAAAAAGCCACACTCTATGAGAACTGAATTTTAGCCAACTAGATATGTGTAAGTAATAAATAGACAATGCACCATGGCAGTTGAGACATTTTGGTGCTGGGTATTTTAGCAACATTTTCAGCAATATTAAAGGAAGACATTAATCCTACCCCTATTCTGTGATTTCCAGATGTTAACATTAATAGTTGCAAAAAAAATGCATTCAATATAAACTGTAATTTATGAAGGCTACAACAGAATAAAGATTTCTGTAGAACACAACAAAACACAGACACACAAGCCTTTTTTTTTAAAAAGGAATTCATAGAACTTATGATGCACAATGAAATACAAGAAAATTACAATGGTATTACTGAAATAGCAGCATCCAAATATCTAGCTTTGACTGGCACACCAATGATGTCATTTAAATGAGCTTACTATAATGGGATAGCTTTCTCTATAATGAGACAAATGTTGTTTTTTTTCCCTTTAATATCCAAAAGTGGGGCATTTCTTTCTTTCTTGTGCTGTCTTTTGATGGTGGCCTACAGTTTTAGGTGATACAATTACCAAACCATCTGTAGTTCTGTTATCTTTAGACTCTTATTGAACATGCATCAAAGTCCTGTTTAGGACTATAGTTTAGGCCACTATAAGATGTTCAAGTTTTAAATTCTCGCTAGGCCAGACTTCAACACCAACAACTTCATATCAGTGAGTTCTTGTGGAATATTAAATATATGTACTTTCATTATTCTATGTATATCTCTTATAAAAGCTTAATTGTTTATAATGTTAATGAATAAAATATAACATCTGTTATACTGGGATCTTTGTGGAGTTCAATGTATTCACATATTAAATTAAGCTTCAAATTTTGAATAATGTGCATAAAATATTAGCAGCTACATTGACTTTCACCAAATATAATAGCTGCTGGTAAAACTCTCTTTTGAAAGCAGAACAAGATTTAGTCTTATTATTTCAAGTCCAAATGGCCAAGTAAAACCCTTTTATTAACTTAATACCAACTGCTTGATGGAATTTAGAAACATTTGCTCAAAACTAATGCAGCATTGAGATATTGAATGAGGTCTTAACTTCAAACAACTTATCTCATTTTCACAATTTATAAGGCATGTCTTCGAGTCCAAAGATAAAAAAGGAATGCAATATTTTCCCTTGCTCTGCAGCCCCAGCTGTGATCTACATATTTTGTGACACCCAGTGCAGATATAACCATTTTCCGCTATTATTTCATGCAGCATTAGCTATCACATTGATTGTGATACCTAGGTGTATATTTTTATTATTTATGTTACATTTTTTAAAGACAATTTAAAAACCCAACATTTTAGTCTGTAGCAAAGGAAATGAGTTTTTTTTTTTTACTATTATTCATTCAAGTCAAAAGGGAAAAAAAAAGTAAAAATTGTATTTTATTTCATAGTTTATGTGTACAAGGCACACTAAAACATTATATACATATGTCAGTGTCAATACATTATGGAATGTACATGTGGCAAACATTTGCAATGTACCAACAACAAAAGTGACCTGAAAGTTGTAGACACACATACACAAAATAAAATATTGCACGCAGCTGTTTAAATATGTTCACATGAATTGTTCAACCAGAGTGACCTCCAAAAAGTGTTCAAGTTAAATTCTGAAGTCTTATCACATAAGAGACTTCACTTGAAAGCAAAACAAACAAAGGGAGCAAAGTAGACCAAAAAAAAAAAAAAGCACTTTATCAGGCTTGCTCCCCTTGCATTGATCATATATCACCTTCTCTTTTTTCTAAATCAAGCTTTGTTTTATTTGTCTCCCCCTTAAAAAAGACATTTTGTGACAATGTTAACAGGATGGACTCACCCTAAAGTTTTCACACCATTGAAATACTGACCTAGTATTTAGAATGAAGGCTACTGTATAATTATGTGATCTATATAACTAATTGTATAGCAAAGACTTAATCTAAGAAAAAGTAAAGTTTGAATCATTAGGGTTTCTTCCTATAGAAAAAATCAAATAAACAAATCAGACTATATACTATATTAAATTAAAAGTTTAAACCATAGATGAATCAGATTCATGTAATATTATGTGATACTTATAAATTGTTAAAAAAAAACATAAACCTTTAAGTCAGTAATATTCAATAAAGTTAATAATTAAATGACCCACAGACTTTATTTGATCTACAATCAACTAAATCATTATTACGATATTAAAGATATTAAAATATTTATAAATCATTTAATATCAAATCCTTGAACCAAAAAAGAAATTAATATTGCATTTATTTAATTTGCATTGTTAATATTTACTATAAAAATGTAGCTCATTTAGTGTACATAGGTATGTGAATTACTGCTTCTTGAAGGCATGTACAATCACAGTGATGTCCAATAAAAAGTTAAAAAAATGGAATTATGTATTTAAAAAACTGTTCCTGACAAGTCTTTAAACCCAAATTAGAAAACAAAAGAAAGTAATCCTGGTCTCTTTCTATCTTACTATACTGTCTTTAAGTCATCTCTAGCACTTCAACATTGGTAACACCTGATATCTATGGCTGATACTAGGACCTCCTGAAATAAATAAAATCAATAACACTTATACATATTCAGAATCTACTTTTGTTCTCTTTGGAACTTCCATTTAATTAATGCACCCATATTAAATGGTACAGTACCACTTGCATTGATACCAAAAGATGGTCCAAAATGATGCAAAAATGATGCTCTGGGTTGCACACACAAGATGTGACTTAAAAGACTATTTCAAGAACATAATTATGAATAGAAATGAATGAATTCCATGGAAGAAAGAGAGAGCCCTAACATCGGGACAAATAAATTTTTTTAAAAAACCTTATTTGAGGAATTTACAACATTTGTACATGTTTCAGCGGGCCAGATAACATCTTATCGTGGGCAGGATCAGGCCATATTTTGGGCATCACTGTCTTATGATGTTCTATGCCTATAGTGTTTTATGTCTTTAACGACATTCTAATCAGTTATTACAAGAAATATCTCACCTGTGTTTTTGGCTGAAATACTTCAAAAGGAAATGCGCTACAAATGGCCAGACAATTATTAGGAGAACAGTTTTGGGAGACAACTCTGGTACAGGCCACCATCCCTGTAATGTGACACGATAATGTTTATAGTTAATGAAACAATATCTAATAAACTAGATAGAAAAACTTAAATTAACAATTAAACAAAATTAATAATGAAGTGGAGACATATTATTAAAGGCATTTATAATAAACTAGATAGCAAACATACACAAAACAAAAACAAGAATGAAAAGCTTAAAATAGTCATCATTAGTTATTATCAAGGAGAGAAATAGAGATGGATGGATCATGCATTCTTAATGGCAAACAATTGCAATGGCTATTATTCTAAATAGCACAAAACAGGGAAAAAGAGTTAGCAAAAAGATCAACAGAGTAAGACTTGAAAGATGGTTTTTGTAACTCCAGAGGAACCAAGACAAGATGAAATGATGTTTCACCACCATGAGCTCTAAGGATTACTTTAGTTTTAAGATGAAGTAAATAAATACAATCCTATCACTGAAAAATATAGATTATATTTACTTGGAATGGTGAAAGTAGTGGCCTAACTAAGCCCTTCTAATGTATATTATGTCTGATGTAACATGGAGGTCTTAAAAGAACTATTACCTTTGACAACTTGTCTTTTTTATCTCTTGCCTGAAATAGAAAGAAATGACATTTTTGTTTAAATAAAGTAATTAACTAGCACCACAACATAACTGTTAGGATGGCTACATGATCATGTAGTATGCGCGCTGGACTCTTGTTCGGATATCAGATATATCAGATGCCAGGAGAAGGCATTTTCGCAGCTCAGAATGCAAGAAATGCTTCAATATGGACCTGTTCCACTGTGTTTCTGCAACTTGAAATGCGGAAAAATGTTTGGTGTCATTTGTGTTTTTATTTATTAGATAGAATAGACATCATTTTGTCCTTTTACCTTCATCGAGTTGCCTCCCTTAAAGTTATTACAATATTTAAATTTTATCCAAATTGGTATCTTATTCATTGTTCAGCTGTGGCGTGCCTGTTTGCCTTATATCTGTTGTGGTCAAGCAAAATTACAAATACAACATTAATAACACCCTAGACACTGCAAAACAATCACATTGTTGTAACTCCAGTAGTGGACTGATAGAGTTAATGTGTGTGCGACCCACTGACACATGTGACTTAGGAAAATCACGCAGGTCAACGGCTGTCGATAAACAAGGGACAGTACTGCTAGCACATCCAACCATGACCCGTGTTATGGTCATGTGATCGAAAGCCAGAGACAGTGTGTAAGAAAGGACAGTTGAGTCCAGGACAGCAAGGCAGTAAGGACGGTGCAGTACAAAGTAAAAGCTTGAAAATGTAACTGTACGGGTCCAGAAGTAGACAGGGAGACGAGTAGTTTTTAGCTAGCAGTTCTGTTAAGTACAAGAAAGCATTTGTAGTTAATGTAGCCAATTGTGTTGTATTGGCTGTTGATGTATTAGTCATTAAACCACCACATTATTATTTGGAACTCTTGTTGTCAAGATCTTGTGTTAGATGTGTTGTGTTGAGCAGTGTTTACAGAAGGCGTGGTAAAGAAAGTCGTAACAATAAGGTATTAGTAGTATACCAGTTGCAACAGAGGCATCATGCAAAAAAAAGATACACATTTTAAAAGGCCCTACTTAGAAGAAGTAACAGCATCTTTCAATTTATCTTTATTGAATTTTGATATATTGATTAGCAGTAAAAAAATGTGTGTTTATGACAATGCTACAAATATCAAAAAAATTTTGCCCCTTGAAAAATTAATTGAATGACTTTGCACCCTCCCGAAGGTTGAGAAGTGATGTTATAGATCCTTAACCAAACTTTTAAAAAATATATTGCTTTGCCTTTGAGTAGCTCTACACTCTCATGCATGTGCACTTAATACACAGATTAAACATTAGAGAGCAATTAAGTCTCACTAAATATTAGACAGCAATTAAGTCTCACTAAATATTAGACAGAAATTAAGTCTCACTAAATATTAGCAATAAAGTATTACTATCATTTAAACAGCAATCAAATCTCACTAAATATTAAACAGCAATAAAGTCTCACTTGACATTTAAATAGCAATCAAATCTCACTAAATATTAGACAGCAATTAAGTCTCACTAAACATTAGACAGCAAATTAAGTTTCAATAAACACTAAAAAACAATTAAGTCTCACCATTTTCTCTGCTCGGACTAACTCTTCTAGACTGTTCAATCGCTTCAAAACACCGCTCATGTCATGCTGCAGCCTCAACAAAGTGACGACAATCTGTTCATTCAAATCAACCGGCTGTGGCTTTCCTCCAGGGTCACTTCCCCTGTTGCCCCCACCACCTCCAGGGTTTGGAAACAGCCCCCTACGTCCACCACCACTTCCAGCTCCAGGGTTTCCATGGCCACTTTGACCACCATCACCTAGAATCATTTCAAACATTACAGTTGTTAAGAACATATTTATTTCATGCTGGATCATACAGAAAGAGAATGGAAAAAAATATAATATATTCAAGATAAAGCTGAAGTATTCTTTTTGTCTTTTGTATAACAGCCTGTTTTCAAAGTGTGCGTTGGCAATACAAAAAATTACAATTAATTGATTCCGAAATTCATTAACTTAATGTTAATGTGTAGATCCATTTATTATCAACCAATCAATATACAACCTGAAAAATTAAAACCAAATATTGGGATCAAATAAAACACTAGGTCGAAGAAATAAATTACATTAGAGCTATGGTGCATTCCCCTTCACTTTGTAATTCTCAATTCCAAGAACTGAATTATACATTACAGGAAGCTATCAATTTTGTACAGCAGCATTTTGTAATTACTTACTGATATGATACATACATATGATATAAGAATAATCTAGAACTTCATAACCTTATCAAATAATTTGTTATTACTCAAAGGTCTACCTACATGTTTTTGTTTGATTAATTAACATTTTTACAAATATACCCACCACTGCCTAAGTGTCTCCCTCTACCTCCTCCAGTTGAACTATAGCCTCTGGCCTCTGAACCTTCAGATTTGTGCCTCCGCTCATCACTATCACCACCCCTGCACATGGAAACATCACAGTTTTCTTCAAAAGAACCATTGAACTTTGACCTCAGCACACAGTCTGAGTCAGCCTGAGTTTCTAATGATGACAGATCTCCCGTCTTGGCTGTGACATTCACAATGAGGCTGTCATTAAGGGCATGGTCAGACCCTGAGTGGCCAATGCTTGGGTCAAAGTGAACCACCCTGGCCTTAGGGATTGGCGTCGATGAGAATTCAGACACAGATGAGAGTTGGCTAGCACATAAATGAGCAAAACTAGGGACGGCTACCTGTCAACGGAAAGAGCAGCATGTTAAATTGTAGCAAAAAAAAAGCATTTAACTCTTTCTTTCCGTATATATTTTTCCATATTTTGACAGAATTCTTAATTTCACTCACTATTTCACTCCCCTGTTATGATTAAGCTTCAATAACTTTTTAATTTCTTATCAGAAAGTGTTTTATTTGGTTTTAAAGGGGAATGCATGCTCTTTTTATAGAACACAAAGTTTATACAATCAAACAAAAATTTTATTTAATGAGGTAAAATCAACGATGGTATCATCAATCAGGAGAGAAAGAGTTAAGCATCTATATCTTTATTAGATAAACAGCACAAATTTTACCAAGACCCAAACTACAAGATGTCCACATAACCTCTTATAATATCAACTGAAATTAAATAAGAATTAATTAAGAAGACTAGACTTTGAAGCTTTCTTATTGTGCTGTAGTTTTAACACAACCTCTTCAATAGATATTGCAAAAAGTATGTCAAGCAGTGCTTTTTTTTGTAAAAAAAAATTAGCTGCCGATACTAAGTGATGGATTGCCTAACTTTTAACTACTAATAAATTAATATTAAAACTTTAAAATGCAAGAAAAGTAATAATTTTTTCCCCACATTGAAAAAGGTGCCGGTGTGCACCATCACAAAAAAAAAAGCACTGATGTCAAGAACATGCTAGATTATTTAACCATGTTTCTTAACCACAGAGTCATCAAAGGTAGCAAGTACATTAATTATCTATTCCTCTAATTGTCCTATATCTCAAGTTTAAGACATTTAAAAATTAAAAAGCCCACAGAAAGTAGTCCAGGAATTAATCTTGTAGTACAGTTTTGACATGAGC